GGACTCCTGAGATCCACCCACTGTTCTGAGAAATGCTGAACCGTCTGAATATTTTCTGCTCCTGAAATGAAGAGCCTCTCCCTTCCTTAACGTCTAGTTGGGATTCCCTGAGTCAGGACCACCCTCTGAAACTTCCTAGTGGGAGAAACACCGCCTTTGTAGCCAACTCCGCTCAGAGCTGATAGCTGCCCTGGGACTAACCTGCTTTGCTCACACAGATGGGGCTGCTGTTCAAGAGGGATGCCAGCCAGCTTGGTTGGCATGAAAAAGCAATGGCGAAGAATACTTTCCAGAGAGTCATTTCACTGTTGTGAGCTAATGAGATATTGATATTCCAGAGGCAACAAGAAATGGAGAGGCCAGGGGTTGAAGACTCATTGAGCTGCTTCTGTGTTCGCCATGCTTTATAAAATGTATCTCCTTTAGTCTCCAGGGCAATCAGTGAAGTAAATATTGTTGTGTCCACGTGACAGATGTGTGTGTTAAAGCTCTGAGCTGCTGAGTGGCTGGTCTCAGGCACAGAGGAGGGGTTTCATCCTGCGCCACTCTGACCTGTGCCTGTCCTATTACGCTCTGCGACTTCTCATGTTTAAAAGATAGTATGAAGACGCTCAGAAATGAAGGTGGTTACTGCAAGTGCACCGACTTCCCAACAATATGATTATATATAAATATAAAATATCCACTGAAATACAGCTAAAACAGAAAGGCTCCTGTTTTGTGAATAATGGTTGGAAAAAAATGAGTTTTCATTCAAAGAAGAATATAGTCCTTAGATGTTTTAAGAACTATCATGTAAAGAAGGGGGAACAACAATCTCCATTGAACCAACGAGTAAATCTTGGTTGTGAATCTGGGGTAGGAAGGTCATCTTTAAAAAAATTTTTTTTCCAACTCAACTAGAAGGACTTTTGAATAAAGAAACACATGGATGTGTCTATGCATGTGTGTGTGACTACATGAAAGATATTTTTGTCTGCTTTTACACAGCTGTCTTCTCAACGTATATAAGAGGATTTGGCATATAGTAGATGCTCAATACATATATGTTGAATGAATAAAATCTGCCCCAGCAAAGAACAACACTGGACTCCCCAGGTAACGAGCTCCCCATCAGAGGACGTTTGAAGAGACTAAGTTCTGAGCATGGATTCTTGCCTTTGGTGGAAAGTTGTATAATAGCTAAGTGAGCTTTATTGAACACTCTAGATGCTAAGCACTGAGCTAAACACTTTACAGTCATGATTTTGTGTAATCCTCACCACAAAGGCATGAGTGAAGGACTACCAGTGTCCCATTCTACATAAGTAGAAACGGAGGTTTACAGAGGTTAAGGCATTTGTCCAAGGTTACATCAGTGTTGAGGGGTGAAGCATGGATTAAAAACACCGATTTTTGTTCACATTATGCTCTATGGCTTGGCTACATCAGATAATTGCTAAGTCCCCTTTCAGTAATGAGACCCTGCATGTTCTATTTCTAACATAAAATCTGTATTGAAGATTCATGCCATGAACATGGACATGTTCTTCCCAAGTAAGCGCTAGTTTCCATGAAAGTAGTATCTAAGGCTGCTCAGCATCATGGCGTGTCCTTGTTCAAACGAACTTTTTTTTTTAAAGGAAGAACATGACAATAATTTGTTTTGGACTCTATGACTTACCTAAAAACCACTGGACTTTTTTTTTTTTTTTTGCACAACCCATTGCCAATGAATTTGGAAAGCTAGGTGATATGGAAGATTTTCAGCAAAATACAGTTTATGAATAGTGACTTTTCCTCCCATTCCCAGCAGGGATAGGATGTCTAAAGAGAACAGTATCCATAGAAGATGAGAAATTCGTAGATGTTTATCACACACTTAAAAGCATTGGAATCATAAGGTTAATAGACCGATTTTACAGTTGCGCATAAGTTATGTCAACATGACTTCTTTAATTCAAGAGCAATGAATGTCTGCCTGAGATATAGGGTAGATGGAGGGAGGGTCCCCCAAATTAGGAGTCAAGTGTCTGATCTTTGTTCATTTCCCAAAGCAGGGGGAGTCACAGGTGTACAAAATAGGTTGTCACCTGGGCCCAGATAACGGAATAGATGAGGGGTCCAGAAATCTGACAAGGTGCACAACACCCTTGCCTCTACCCTGTCCCTCACCCCTTTCACAAAGATGATCAAGGGTGGGGCAATGTCTGCAGGTGCCTGCAGGGCAACAGCAGCCTTATGCTCCCTGCAGGTACAAGAGAACATGCAGGGTTGCTGACATTAATGGGATTCAAACTAATTTCTTATCATTGACAAAATGATGTTCAAACTCCTCAGCACGGCATTCTCGGCACGTTAGGATTCAACCTCATCTCTTTATTTTCCCATATTAGAATATTTTTTGTCTATTGCCTGCCTCCTCTTTATTACTATTGCCTTGCTTTCAATTATGTTCTAGCTAAATATGCATTTGTCCATCCACCTATCCATCCATCCATCCATCCATCCATCCATCCATCCACTCACCAACTATAAGTCAGCAATGTGGTTATATCTATGAACAATACCCTGTCCTCATCTGTCTTACAGTCTCACAAAAGGGAACAAATAAGTAAACCTATCTAATTCCAACCCACCGTGCAGGATATATCTCAAGTTCTTTCTTCTTCCATGAAGCCATCCCCAGGAATTCTGGCCCCCCATCACCTCGTTTGTCTTTCATTCTCATAGTACTATGGCCCACAGTGTAATTGAGGCACATGCGTCTCATTTCAGATGTGGGTGGGCTCAGCTCCGAAGTCAGTATGTAGGAACAGCACCGTCAGGTTGCGCTTCCACGTTCGTCAGGAGGAAGGTGTCACCTTAGAGACTCACTCCTGCTCCCCAGTACGTGCCCATCACAGCAAGTCTGTGCCCAGGGTTGAAACGGATTGCTGATTCCTTGACGACAGTGTGAGACAGGGAGTCAGCTTGGCTCTGAGCCAAGCTGCAGGAAAAATGTGCATGGAGCTGACACGATGATCACGGCACACTCAGTCACACGAGAGGCTCACAGGACGCGAGGCACGAGGGAACAAGACTGACTCGGGGTATATCAGAATGCCACTGTCCCCTCAAACTGTCACACGGCAGCCAGTGCTCATCCAGGAAATAATGCAGCCCTGGCCAGTTTGGCTCGGCGGATGGAGCGTTGGCCCACAGACCAAAGGGTCGGGGCTCCGATTCTGGTCAAAGGCGCATGTCTCAGTTATGGTTCTGTCAGGGTCATGTGGGAGGTGACCAATCAATGTGTCTCTGTCACATAGATGTTTCTCTCTCTCTCTCTCCCTCTCCCCCTTTCTCTCCCACTCTGAAGATAAATGGAGGAATATCCTCAGGTGAGGATTTAAAAAATAATAATAATGCAAACCATTGCCTGAAATGTCTAAGTTGTTTCCCCTCATTCAAATAAATGCACATGGAATGCAGGCGCACGGACCTACCTTGTGCTGTCATTGAACTCTAACCTAAACTAGGAGTCTCTGGAGCACATGACTCTCGTAGTCAGCTCCTTGTTGGATGTGACCATTTTATCTGTTCCCTGGTGTACATGACCTTCCATCATTTGGTTCCCTACTACCTTGACGATCCCATTTCTTTCCATTCCTTACTACGCTTTCTATACTCTAACCCACTTATCTATGTATTTCTAGTTTCCAAATAAGATTTGTTACTTCATGCTTCCTGTCTCTGCCTATAGAGCCCCTTCCCATGTTGTCCAGCAAATGTTGACCCTCCATACTCATTTCAAATATTTCCTCTTCGGTGCTAGTTTGATTGGATTGATGCGACTATTCTTCACTCCTTCCTGGAACCCTGCGCTTTGCCAGCTGAAGCTTCAGTGCCCGCCTCTGTGACTCTGGGCTTGTCCTGTGACTTGCTTTGACCAATAGGATGTCAGCAAATGCGATACAGCAGAGGCTTGGGCAGTGCTTGTGCAATTGAGCTGGCCTGCTGCCACCCCGGGAGAGCTCTCCTCAGCTCCTTGCTGGAGGAGGAGGCGGGTGGTGCCAAGTGGGGTTGGACCGTCACCCCAGCCACGGCGACCCTGCGTCAGCCAGAGGAGAGCTGACCCCCAGACACAGGAGCCACCCCGGTCAACTTGCTACCGGTGTATAAATAAGTTCCAGAGGTCTAACACACAACATAGTGATTGGAGTAAAAAGCAACAACAAAACACTTATTATAAACTTCAAAGTTGCTAAGAGACTAGATCTTAACTGTTTTCAACACAAAAAAGGAGTAATTATGTGAGGTGATCAAAGTGTTAGCTAGGGCTGCTGTAGTGATCATGCTGCAATATATAAACGTATCAACCAACACGTTGGGCACCTCCAACTCGCACAACGTTATATGTCAATTACATGGCGATAAAACATAGTTCGGGCACACCTGAGTTAGAATCGCAGCTTTGCAGGTGGCAACCTTGCTGAGCCCATGTGTTCAGCTGTACAGGGAAGACAGTGGCAGCTGCTGCTGCCGTCCTGAGAAGATGCGATGAGCACATCTGTATAAAGTAGCCAGTTCAATGCATGGCACACATTTAGGCCTCAACAGTGTTCGGTTGAGTGAATTAATAAACGGACACTTCCATGGCTAAATTCTTCGAGTGAGTGCATCCAAAATACAAGGTCCTTTGTCCCATTACCAGTGCCTAATACATGCCAGCTCCCCAGACATTCTACAGCCTTTAATTCAATGTATTACAATGGAGGCTGATGTTTCATTTTACTGAACCCAACTGTGCAATAAATAAAAGTACCTCAGAGGACCACCTTTGCAACTTAACATCAGCATGGTTGTTAAATGTGGTTTATTTAATCTCTCATCTAAACTAAGAATTGCAGTGTGTTGCTTATAAATCTGCTTTTCCTGCAACCCTTTGGAGAAATACCAACACCTGGCCTGTGCTTATGGTCGGCTCTTGGGCAGGCTCGCTGGCAGGCTACACTCCTGCCAATTCAGACGCAGGTACTCACCGCTCTGGATGCAGGTAGCCCTCTTCCACGGCTGCTGCAAGAGCAAAAGGAAGAGTAAAAAAGAGACGTTAGCAGCAGCCTGATTACGGCAAATTATATTTGTGCGATGACCTGACCCTGAAGACACAATGTGGATTGGCAACAATGTGGATTGTGCCCCAAGCCTCCCCTTCCCCTGGCATGCAGGGGATCACCTGCCCTGCACTGCAGCCCTCACCCCCCCCTTTGTGGTGCATAATTATGAGTACAGTGCGACTTTGACCTCTTGAAGTACCAGGATGTCTGTTGGATTTCTGTCTTAATCTCCTGTCTATCACAGGCCTTGGCAGAGAGAGTGTAGCTGCTCAATGCATGCTTGAAATAATGCTAACATTGTACCTTTTGAGCTCTTACTGGTGTCTTTCCATGCTGCATCTCATTCATTTGTCCTCACAATAACCCTATGCGATGAGTGTTGTTATCATCCCCATTTACAGGCGAGGACAATGAGGCTCGGTGATAGCGCGCCCAAACTTCAATAGCTGGTGAGGGGGCGGGCCGTGATGTCCAAAGCCCAGTTCAGTACAAAAGACTTAGCACTTGGTTCTACATTGTCTGACAGCCTCCTTCCCCTCCAGAGAGATGGTTTGAGGCCTACATTACTTAATGTTTGCAAAAATCATACTTAGCCTTCTCTGATACGGAGGTGGCCATATTCTTAAAGTACACTTCTACGAGCTCTATTTCTCTCTATAGAGTTTTTGTTTAGGATGAGATTTAGGAGGACGTATAAGGTGGTTCTTGAGTGTGGTCCCCCAGACCAACTGAACTGGGAACTCTGGGCTGGGGCCCAGCAATGTGTTTTAACAGGTCCCCTCCGTGACTCTGATGCCTGCTGAAGTTTGAGAACCACTGCGTTCAAGAAATGCAACCACGAGGCTGCCCAAAGCAGTCCAACGACCCATCAATGAACTAGAAGTAGCTCTCAGGGTAGCACCTGCAGGCATTCATGGTCCCAGTAAAACAAACGTCAGCACAGCACTCCGTACACCCCACAGCATACGCTCGCCTCGTTCCATCAGAGCGAACAGAAGCAAAGGTGTTTAAAGTGTCAACAGGATGAGGCTGCAGCGGGGAGGGAGAGGAGAAAGTGCTCCTTTAGTAGCAGTTAGACTCACAACAGCACAGAGAAGTGGCTTCCAAGGATGTTTCTGGCCCTGGAAAGGACCAGTGGGGGAAGGGTGGGAGCCTATCAATGAGTCACTGCAGACAGATCACAGGGGCCTGAGGGACCCCCATCGCGACCGCAGGTCAAGTTCACACTGCCTGCCTCCCTTTTCACTCCCTCCAGCTGCCCACTGCACAGGTTGTGTTGACAACACAGGCTTTGTAGGAAACACAAAGGCGCTCTGCCTCCCTGCCCGCTCCTTTTCATTTTCTTCCTCTTGGACGGATTCCCATGATCAAATGCGGTGCTCTCAGGGGAAGCGGGCTGGCTCGGGGGCGATAAGGGGCCAATTCCTGCAGATCTGTCATTTCCCCGGCAAGCTGCCAGGGCCTCTCCAGGAGAACCAGCAGTGATGGATGTCCAGCCCCACAGAGAAGCAGTTCAGCCTTGTCACCTGGGAGCTGGTGCGGAGAGGGAGGGGACAGGGGGCTGCCTCCAGGCACTGGAGCCTGCGGAGACGCCCAGGCTGGCTGTGTGCCCTGGGGTCGGGTGGGTGCGTTTTCCTCACCTTGCCTGTGGGCCTGGGGAACAGCAGCTGTCCCCCGCTGGGAGGCCTGGAGGGTCCCCGCTGGAGGCTTCTGCGGCTTTGCGGGTGGAGGGCCCAGGGACTCCGCGGGAGGCAGTGGCTTCGGTTTGGGCAGCTGGTGACGCCTGACATTCGGCCGTTTTTCTGAGCACAAATAGTCCAAAGTATAGTATTAATGATTTCCTCTTCATGGCTGGCAGGTGAGACTGCCCAGGTACCCTGCCTCGTCCTCACTCCCATCCAATCTGCACCCCGCCCAGTGGCCAGAGCATTCCAAACTGAAATGCAAACCCCATGTGGTCACCACCCTGCTGCCAGGAGAGACACCAGTTCCTCAGCACGGCGCTCGTTGGCGCCCCCTCTGGCACTGAAATGGCACATGGCCCCAGTGGACATTCCCAGGTGATTTTTTCACTGGATTTTATTACCCTACTTCCCCGGCCTGGAGACCAGACGCCTTCACTCACCACTGGCCTCTCAGTTCTCTAGATTTCATTTCGAAAGCTTAAAAAGCTTTTGCATGTACAAGATTTCGTTCATGCCATTCATGGTTCTAGAATGCTGTCCCCTTATTCCTCTCTGGCCACACTTTGACTCTTTCTTTAAGGCCCTGCTCCAGTGAAAGCCTCCTCCAGGAAGCCTTTCTTGATTTCTAGGCCAGAGTGACCTTTATTTACCCAGCACCAAGCACAAGGCCCGGTTCCGAGGCAATGGCCCATAGCTATGCCGCAGAGGAGTTCTTCGGGCCTTTGTGGTGGCAATCACACGGGCGCTGTAAAGAGGGGGAGAATCGCCCTCTGATGCCGGGGCTCACCGCCGAGAGCAGGCTTCCAGGCTGACGTCAGCACCTCAGCACCTGTGGACTTTGTGTCCTGCAATTTTGGAGGATAGTCCCAATTTCATATATTTTATCTTTCTACACGAATAAGCCAGATTCCAACAGAAATTTAAATATTGTATGTGAAAACTGTACCTGCTTCTTCGGAAAATAGCACAAACTCTTATAGTGTCAAAGTGCTTTGAGTTTTGGTTTACATAACACAGCGGTTGATTACTCGGTAAAACTACAGGAGTTGGTTAGTGGATCCCAAACACATCGGGGGACTTTCTCTAAGCCCCGCTGCCACGGCGAGGGGAGGGGCCTCCTTCTTGCCCTCCGGGCAGGGCCAAAGTTCCCCTCTTCTGAGGCTTTTACCTAAGTCCATGGTCAGTAATTTCAGTCTTTATCACATTAAGGAGAAGACACAGTGAAAATAAATGACCACTTACTTATTGGGCCCCTAATTTTGACCAGGCACTATGCTCAGTGGTTTACTCGGGTTATCTCGTTTAGTCCTGGTAACCGGTCCACCAAGTATGCACTCAATCCATTCTGCCTTCTTTCCTCCCATGTGTCGCCCCTCCCCTTCACCCCTCCTTCTTCCCCTCTCTTCATCAGTAACTATTTATACCATGTTCCAGGCATGGTTCTGGGGGCTGGGCATAGAGCTAAGAACAAGAACAGATACAGTCCTGCTCTCAGGAATTTTCATTCTAATAGGACAAGACTGATGATAAACATGTAAACACATACATAAGATAGTTACAGAGATCTATTAGTTCTATAAAGGAAACCAAAACAGGATGATACAAAAGAGTGCCAACTTTTGGTGGTAAGCTGGTGGTCTTTAGATAGGGAGGCTGGAAAATGTTGATCTGGAAGTATCATTTGAACTTTGATCTACATGAACCTATATAAAAGTTTTAAAAAAAAGTTTTCTAGGAAGAGGGAACAGAAGTAGTGAAGGTTGTGAGCCGTAACAAAGTCTGTTCAAAGAACAGCGAGAAACCCAGTGTGTTAACTACAGGCCAGTGAGCCCGGGGCAGAGGCAGGAGGGAAGTCAGAGACATAAGGGATTAGAAGAAGCAGGGCTATGAAATGAGTAGTAACTTAGATGCTATTTTAAGAGCAAAGAGAAACCACAGAGGATTGGAAGTAGGAGGTCCATCCACCCACCTCATTCATTCATTCATTCATTCATTCATTCATTCTTTCATTTAGTAAATATGTTTTAAGAATAACTGATCCTGGCTTTGTCCTTCTAGGTACTGGGGATATGGTGGTAAAGAAGTTTTTATTCCCATGTAACTTCATTTTTTGTTAATCCTCACTCAAGGATATTTTTCCATTGAGTTTTAGGTAGAGTGGAAGGGAGGGGAGGGAAGAAGAGAGAGAGAGAAACATTGATGTGAGAGAGACATCAATTGGTTGCTTCCCACATGTGCCCCGACCAGGCTGAAGATCAAACCTGCAACCCAGGTATGTACACTTTACTGGAAATCAAACCCACAACCCTACAGTCCATGGGCCAATGCTCCAACTACTGAGCCAAATCAGCCAGGGTACATGTAACTTAATGTTTTACTGGAATAAACAAATACATAATATACAAGATAGGGAGAAGTGATATGAAGAAAATCAAAGCAATGTAGGAAGATAGAGAGTGATACCATGATATAGCTATTTTAGATAGAATGATTCACAAGGTCCACTCACAGCAGGTGACACTAAGCAAAGACCACGATGAAGTATTTGAGTGAGATATTAGAGTCCTGGGGGAAGAGTGTTCCAGGCAGAGGGGTCAGCAAGGGCAAAGGCCCTGGGGTAGAACCAATCTGATATATCTAAGGAATAATAGAAAGGTCAATGTGATGAGAGAGGAGAGGGTAAGAAAGGTAGGCAAAGACCAAATCACATGAGCCACTGTAAGAAGGCTGGAGTTACATTTGAGCAGGAGACTAATGTGATGTGATTTACGTTTTAGAAGATCGCTGTGCCTGCTAGGAGGAGAGTAGAATATAAGATGGCAAGAGTATGGAAGCAGGAAGATGGGTTGGGCCATTGCAGTAGTCCAGGTGAGAGATGATTGCAGTGTGGACATGGGCAGAGGGCAGAAATGGACAGACGTGGAGGGATGCAGACCATATTTTAGTAGTAGGATGGAGAGCTTGCTGATGAATTGGATACAAAGAATGAAAAGGAGAGAGGAATAGAGCACGTTTCCTAGGTTTGGGGCATGAGCAACCAAGAGGATGGTTGTCCCGTTTACCATCTGGGAAGACTGGTGATACATCTGATTTGTAGAAGAGCAGACCAGGCTCTATGTAGTTAAGTCGATTTCCCAAGTTCATGCATCTCGTAAGAAGTAGAACTAGGATTTAAATCCAAGTTTGCCAAACTGTCTCTCAGTATAATTCCAGGAGATCCATTACTTTGCCCAAACCTGAAGTTACAATTTGGCAGATGGCCCTAGAATACCTGTGTTGGAGTTTAGAGCAAACATTGGTGAGGTGACATGTGTGACCTTCTCAAGTCAGCAAGCTTCAGCTTGGAAAAACACAATGAGCTCTCCCTCTACATCTGAGGGGATTGGATTTCTCACCTAATCCCTGGGTGGCAAGCTCACTGCCATAGGCAGGCTGGTAGATGCTCACTGCCGGGCTCCTCTCAGGGCTGGACTTCTCTAGGCTCTTCTTTCCATGCTGGGAAAGTAGAAAAGTGACATCTTCTGAGGCAACATATGATTTCCTTAGGGCCATCGAGGCCCTCTGGAAAGGACCAGCCAGGGATCCCTTTATTCCCAGCTTTTTCCTCGGCTCCTCCGGAGTGGTAAGCCCCAAGCTTTCTTGACCTTTCAGATGGAAAGATCTACTTCCACAGTTGGCTGATGACATTTCACTTTTCTGAGATGAAAATTTCTCCCAGTTCCAGAGCTTGTCTCTGAAGCTAGTAGACACCACGTTCTTCTCATTGGTTGTCTCAGCATTGGACTGATTCACATCTGAAAGCAGAGCTTTCTGTGAATTTTCTGCAGAATGAGCAGATCTTCCCAGTAGTCCTGGGGAACTGGAGCATTTTTGCATCTCACTCCTCGCTGCCAACTTCATTTTCTGGGGTTCAGGAGGCTGGGGCTCACCCCTGGAACAAGAGCTTTGGGGCTGGTCATGGTTGGATGAGAGGGGTTTCCTGTTGGCCCAAATCATCTTTGACTGTGTGTTTCCAGTGACACCCTTTTGAGAAACACCTGCTGGGAATTTAGTAGGTCCTGGAAGAGACGGTGCATCAAGCTTTTGAAATTTAGCTTGGAGTTCTTTGAAGTTCCTTAATCTTTCCTGAAACAGAAAAGGAAATAGAAATGTCTCATTATTTTAGGAAAAATGCAGCACGATCGTTGACCTCACTGTGCATGCTAAGGGGGTCTCAGTGCCAGCGTAACGCCGTGGCTCACCCACCGAACACGATCAGCCAGTAGTGCTCTTGCTATGCGAGATGGAAGGAAAACAACTGTATCCTCTTCGAAATACTTCGGATATGTTTACTTTCTTCACAACATATAAAAACACTTATAAAGGAGATAGTATTAACAACTGCTGGTAAATATCTTGATACACACTTTTCTTGGTTCCCTCTGGCCTATCAAATGGGCTCTAAACCCCTGAGTGTGACATTCAAGGCTCCTCACAATGTGTGGGTTTATGATCTCAAAGATGCTGGAATCATGATCTCCAGCCACAGCTCAACAACTACCCTTAAATGACAATGAGTATTTACAAGTGTCCTAGGAACTTTGTGCACTTCACTACCCAGACTTTTCTTGTGTGTTCTTGCTTCACAAAATGCACCCCCACCTCTCTGAACTGCTTCCTCGCAACTTCAGTTCCCTCCTCTCCCTCCGCCTGGGGATGACGGGTAGACCTGACTTCTTCCCTGTCTCCTTGGAGCCTCCATAGCTCTTGTTACTTGGCAGCTGGACATAATCCTCCTCAACTGCAAAAAAGAGCAAACTTTGAACTAGACAAGTCTGTGTTCAAATCCTGACTCTGCTCTTTATCATCTAGGCAAATACTTTGGGAAACGTGGTATTAGCAGTGCAGTCTCATCTAAAACTTAATTGCCAGGTGGTAGAAGGATGTGGGCTACCATATGTCAAGGGTCCATTACAGTGCCTGACACATAGTAAGACCATGATAAATAAAAGATATTTGTAAGAGGCCAGATAATCCTCTTGTATCATTGACTCCCCATGGAAGACTGTGTCCTTCCTTCTAAACTCAGTATATGAAAATGGCGGTCGTGACAGCAGCCCAACCCTTGGGGCAGAGGAAGGGAAGTGTCCAAGATGGCACAGCGAGTTGGCGGTGTAGGTAGGTAGGTAGGATTAGGCTCGACTCCTGCTGGGTGCACTTCCCACTGCTCCCCACTCTTTCTCACTACATCTAATTTATTTTTGTAAGTTCGTTTTGTCATCTTTTGTCTTTATAGGTGGTAGAGTGTGGGAGGACAGATAATGGAGCCATTTCAAAAGTAAGAGCTCCCCTCTTCAAGTTCTTCACTGCATGGCACGGTCTCCCTGCCACAGCCCTGTGGTTTGCCAGCTGAGGGGATGCTGGGTGAACGCTTCTCGCTGTTCACAGTTGGCTCACACCTGCTCTCCGAAGGCTTAGGAAGGGAGGGGAATCAAACAGGAAACACACGGCAAGTATCGATACGTGGTAGACATCAGCACGGAGCGCAGAGCCAGGCGATCTGAGCCTGGCCCTCAGCTTTCCCAGTTTCTAGTCGTGTGTCTTGGACAATTTCCTTCCCTTCCCTGAACCTTATTTTCTGCGCTATGAAATGGGACCATCCTTCTGACAGTTCAGGGTTATCGTAAGGACCAGATGAGACAGGAGGTGGACATACCTCAGTGCTTAATATTGGTTACATTGGGACAAAATACATACAACTTAAACTTACCACCGTAATCACTTCGTGTGTACAGCTCAGGAGTGTGAAGTGCATCTACATTGTTGTGAATGTCCAGAACTCTCTTCATCTGCAAAACTGGAGCTCTGCATTCACGAAATAACTAACAACTCCCTGTCGCCACCCCACCCCACCCCAGCCCACCTCAGCCCCTGGCAACAATCGTTCTACTTTCTGTCTTAAACTTAACTACTACAGCTGCCTCATATTAGTGGAATCATACGTGCTTGTTATTTTGTGACTGGCTTATTTCATTTAGCATATTGTCTTCAAGGTTCATCCATGTTATAGCATGTGGCAACATTTCCTTTCTTTGGAGGCAACAAAAGAAAAACATAAACAAGTGGGGTTACATTAAACTAAAGGGTTTCTGCCCTGGCCGGTTTGGCTCAGCGGTTAGAGCGTCGGCCTGCGGTCCTGAGAGACCCGGGTTCGGTTCCCGCTAAGGGCGCGTACCTCGGCTGCAGTTTGTCCCCGGCCCTGGTCGGTTGTGCGGGTGGCAGCCACTCGATGTGTTCCTGTCACATCGATGTTTCTCTCTCTCTCTGTTCCTCTCTCTCCCTCCCACTCTACCTGAACAAAAAATGGAAAAATGTCCTCGGGTGAGGATAAAAAAAAAAAAAAAAAATTAAACTAAAGGGTTTCTGAACATCCAATGAAACCATCCACAAAAGGAAAAGGCAACCTACAGAATGGGAGAGAATATCTGCAAATCATATATCTGATAAGGGGTTAATATCCAAAATATATAAAAATTCATACAACTCAATAGCAAAAAAAAAGAAACAATTCAATTTAAAAATGGACAGAAGATTTAAATAGATATTTTTCCAAAGAAAACACACTGATGGACAACAGGTACATGAAAAGGGGCTAACACATCTCTAATCAGGAAAATGAATATCAAAACCACCATGAGATATCACCTCACACCTGTTAGAATGGCTATTTTCAAAAAGACAGGAAACAGGCTGGCCAGTGTGGCTCAGTGGATTGAGCGTTGTCCCAGAGACAGAGAGGTCCCAGTTAGATTCCCAGTCAGGGCACATGCCTGGTTTGCTGGTTCAATTCCCAGCAGGGGGCGTGCAGGAGGCAGCTGATCAATGTTTTTATTTCTATCTCCCTTCCTCTCTCTCTAAAAAAATCAATAAAAACATATTTAAAAAAAAAAAAAAAAAAGACAAGAAATGAGAAGCGTTTGCCCTGGCAAGTGTGGCTCAGTTGGTTGATCATAGTCCCATGCACTCAAAAGTTGCTGGTTTGTTCCCTGGTCTGGGCACATGCCCAGGTTGTGGGTTTGATCTCCAGCTGGAATGTGTGCAGAAGGCAACTGATTGATATTTCTCTCTCATATCAATGTTTCTTCTCTCTTTCTCTCTCTCCCGTCCTCTCTCTCAAATCAATAAAAACATATTACAAATAAATAAATAACAAGTGTTGGAGAGGATGTGGAGAAAAGGGAACTCTTGTTTACTGTTGGTGAGGACCTAAATTGGTACAACCACTATGGACAACAGCATGCAGTTTTCTCAAAAAATTAAGACTAGAACTACCATATGATCTAGCGAGTCCCCTTCTGAGTATTCACCCAACGAAAACAAAACACTAACTCTGAAAGATAGATGCACCCCATGTTCATGGCAGCATCATTTATACTAGCTAAGATACAGAAACAACTGACATGTCCATCAATGAATAAATGAAGAAAATATTGTGTATGTATTATATAATATATATACAATGGAGTATCATTCAGCCATAAAAAGAATGACATCTTGCCATTTATGACAACATGAATGGACCTTGAGGGCATTAAGCTAAGAGAAACAAGTCAGACAGAGAAAGACAAATACTGTATGACCTTACTCATGTGGAATCCAAAACAAAACTCACTGAGCTCTTAAAGACAGAGAACAGATTGGTGGTTGCCAGAGGTGTGGGGAAGGGGATAGGTAAAATGGGTGAAGGGGTCAGAAGGTACTGTCTTCCAGTTATAAAATAAATAGGTCATGGGATGGAATGTACAGCCTGGTGACTACAGTTAACAATACCTCAGGGCTTATTGGAAAGTTGCTAAGAGAGGAACTCTTGGAAGAAAATATTGTAACTATGTATGATCACGGCTGTCATTAGGCTTATTGTGGCGATCAATTTCCAATGCATCCAATTATTAAACCATTATGTGTATACATAAAACTAATATAATGTTATATGTCCATTACACTTTCATTAAAAAAAAAAGACATACATAAAAAAACAGTGCCTGATCATTCAGAGCTGGTGCATTGAGGGAGGCAGACACAAACTGATCACTTTTTTTTTTAATCATCCTCACCCGAGGACATTTTTCCATTTTTTGTTCAGGTAGAGTGGGAGGGAGAGAGAGGAACAGAGAGAGAGAGAAACATCGACATGAAAGGGACACATCGAGTGGTCGCCACCCACACAACCAACCAGGGCCGGGGACAAACTGCAACCGAGGTACATGCCCTTAGTGGGAACCGAACCCGGGTCTCTCCGGACCGCAGGCCGACGCTCTAACCACTGAGCCAAACCGGCCAGGGCACAAATTGATCACTTTAACACAATACAGAAAGTTACTAGATCATGACATGGAGCCAGCTGTGTGAACAAGGAGATGAGGTCACGATGCCACTGGGGTTGGGAGGACACAAAGAAGGCTCCCTAGAGATGACCCATGCCTCAGCTAAAGCAGGCAGCCAAGCAAGGAACAGTGGGAAGGGCAGTCTGACAGGGAGAGAGCATGGGAAGACAAGGCATGGCATCTGAAAAGTGTGACATATTTGGAAAGAAGGATCAATTCCATATGACTGGAGCCCAGCGTTCAGTACAAAAGACTGGACAAGAAAGTCAAGGTCAAACTTCTTTCAAATCATTGGGCTTAATCTTTTAAGTGGATGGAGAGATACTGATGAGTTTTCCACAGAACTATGTCATGGTTAGATTTATAGTTCACGCGGATTAAAGACCAGAAACCAACTAGGATGCTACTACAATGGTCAAGTAAAAATGGCAAGAGGCTGGTAGTGTTGGGCAAGGTTGGTAGGAATGGTAAGAAAGTGATAGATAAGAAAAATATGCAGCCCTGGCCGGTTTGGCTCAGCGGTTAGAGCATCGACCTGCGGTCCAGAGAGACCCGGGTTCGGTTCCCGCTAAGAGCACATACCTCGGTTGCAGTTTGTCCCCGGCCCTGGTTGGGTTGTGTGGGTGGCAACCACTCAATGTGTCCCTTTCATGGTGATATTTCTCTCTCTCTCTCTCTCTCTTCTTCTTCTTCTTCTCTCTCCCTCCTACTCTATCTGAACAAAAAATGGAAAAATGTCCTCAGGTGAGGATTAAAAAAGAG